TCACACTGGCCAAGACATTCGTTTTGGCAAAAGGCATCGTCTGTGGTGCCGGGAACCCTCCAGCTCTCTCCCAGCGCTGCCACACTGCTGGCTACAGAACCACTGGGAGTCGTGAGATCATCTTCCTTTTTGTTGTTGAAGTTGCCACACAGGCCGCACACACTGCCAGCAAAACTGCCCGGCACTTGGATGGCGAGATACTCGTTCCAGTCGTACTGCACGGTCAGGCCAAAGTCTGTCTCCATGACGACATACAGGCCTTTCTGGAACAGCTTCACCTGGCCGTTGTTCAAGTTGATCGGGAGATTCCATTGTTGATAGTTCACCTGTTAATAAATCAAAATTCATTCACACAGCACATTTAATACAACAATTTATTTGAACATATAGAGAGAACAAAGTCACATCACATGACATCAACAAACATATTTTCAATGCTGTTTGCTTCTTTTTTTGTTTGTTAGATAGACGGATATATCAAAAACTTTAGATACTTTATTAAAATGTAGTGCAAAGTTAGTCCAGGCAAGGAACAAGTGATCAGTTGGTGGTGCAGACAGGGCTGTAGCCAGACTCTTAGAAGTACTGATATCCCCTGAACGCACCCCAGAAAAGACATTTTGACCAGAAACCAAAAAGAAGATCTTTAAATTTGTTTCAATTGATTGGATTTTTCATATTCAGTTAATTCAGTTCAACTGTTACTTTATCTAAAGCCTGTATTTCCCAACATTAAATGTTTCAAAGCTTTCTCCACACTACCATAAAATTAAATAAGTTATTCACTTATTAATGATTGTCTCAACATATTGGGTCTAAAAAGATTAACTCTTTTTCAGCGATCCAAAAAAAAAGTCTCCATAATGTCTCAATTATTTGGGTTTGAGTTTAAAAATACTTAAAACAACCAAGAAATCACCCTCCATGTATATAAAAAGCTCTTTTGTAAAGATGATAATAGTCAGCATTCACACAATGTGTGTGACTGACTCACCCGCACAATGCCGAGTTCAGAACGAATTATATCAATGTTGAGCCCGTAAACATTGATAGTGACCCTCCCTGCTGATGGGACCTGTAGGTTGCCCTCGTTCATGTTCTTTGTCTCCACTTCAAAGGCTGGGAGGGCGCGATCAACATGGCAGTTCTTGGCCATTGTGTAGGTGCAGTTGCCCATGAAGTTGTAATAATTGCCATCAAAGGTGTAGTGAAGGTTGCCCATGACCCAGCAGAAGCCTGACTTTGGTGTTGAAGTGGTGGGTCCTCCTCTGCAAAATCCTAAAAAAAAAAAGAAAAAAGAAATTTTCAGGGTGACATTTTCTTTCATTTATCTTAACCTTTAATTTATAGTAGATCTTTGCATCTTTTTCTCTCACTGGTGTTTCTATTGGATTAAAGTAGCACAGATAAAACAGATATATAATATCAGTAACTGTCAAGAATACATTTCTGCAAGGTTCTGCAAAATATGACCATGTATGTCCACAACTGAACATTTAATTAATCAATTTCTGTCATATTATTAAATGTATAACAAACCAAGTGTATTATCGAGCTATTTGGATAATGTGAAAAGGGTAGTTTTCAATTACTTCAAGCCCTCAAAGATCCTAGTCTTGTCATGAATGTATTGTTTTATCTATAGCTGGATATTCATACTCCAGTCTAAGCTGCTTTTCAACTCAGCATTAACTCTTTTTAATATCTCACTGAAACATCACTCATTTATGAAATTAATTATTATTAAGATTAGTAAGACTTGACAACTTACCACTCAGCAGAAGAGCTGAAAAGATCACAACAAACAACCCCATGTTTGTCACTGGAGAGGACCTAATAGAGTAATCAGAGTTTTTCAAAATGGACATAGTCAGGAAAATCATATGCTTTGTAAGCTTACTAACCCATTACAGATTCACAATGTATACACATCTCGGCATATAGATGCTAAAATGAGGCAATCCCGTTTTTCTTATTTTTTTACAATAGAAAATTGAAATAGCCTACAAAAAGTTAAATGACCAGAGAATGGAATAGATTTTCTTTTCACATCAGCATCTAGAAAAACATATCCAAGAAAGAAAACATACGTTTACATACATAAGTGTATGACCCAGTTCTAATTGCATGAACAGCTTATTACCACTGTGCTCGAGGCAATGGTTTAAGTGGTCTAACAGAAAAGAATTATCCATACAAAAAATAAAATAGCTGAAAAGGTTTGTTCAGTACTTAAGATATTTAAATCATTCTCACCTGAGCTGGTCATCTGGCATTCGGGGGTTCAGGTGCAGGATTCAAGGATGCTTAAATACTTTCTAATCTCCACTAATGGACCAATCAGCTTCTTGGTGGCTTTTCCCAGAAGTGAACAAAAACCGTGTCACATGACACAAGTCAAAAGAGACGTTAATGGACTCTTGTTAATTGTATACAATATTTTACCAGGTCGCAAAAGAGTTCATTTCAGTGAAAGAAAATGTGGTAAAAGGGTAAATAGAATACCTATAACAGGATGTAAGACTGCAGCAATTATAATACAGATCAATTTGTAAAGGCTCTTATTCCTGTTGTGACCTTTGTTATCTGCTTCTTTTAGTTTTAAAACCTGATTGTCTGCTGGCTTTGTGCCTATCGATTTGTCTATACACATTCAACAACTGTGATTTATTTGTTGACACTGTGGCCGTGTAGTCACCACCCACAAGAATAATGGGTGGGTGTGAGTTGTTTAAATGCACAATTCTAAAGCGCTCCCTCAATGCTATCGTGACTATATTCACAAGGATCAAGTGGAACTATTTTCTGCTGACCTAAGAGCAGTGGACATATTGTGTTGGCGGTGTTGTTTCTTAATTTAATCACAGTTATGTTTTGTGTAAGGTGAAGAGATAAAGATTTTATCTGATAATTTTATTTAATCTGCAGGAACACAATGCAAAAGGTAAAAGTATCTTTGTTTGCACATTGTAGGATATACCGTAAATCAGTAGCAATTGTTGTAGTCATGCACAACAAACAGATATGCAAGTATTTGCTTCATACTTGTTGATCTTTCTCATAGATTGTTGTCCTGTGAAAACTATGTATCTCCAAAATGTCAGTTTTTAATGAGCAAAACAAAAAAAACAGCACAGTTTTCAGCTCTGACAATCTAGTTTTCAAATAATCCTATGTTTATTTCACTTAATAAGTAGGAGGATGTTCTCAACCTATAATAAAACACTGAATCCTGCATTTTCCATGAAAATTAGGAGCACAAAGTCATATTAATACCAACTACACCAGTCTTCTGAAATGTAAGTCTTGCCCAATGTGGTAGAAATGTTTGATTAAGTGAATTTGTACATTGAAATGGTTAGTTGACCTGTCCTTGGCACAACTCATAACTAATGCATAACGTATGAGCAGACTCTGGGTGTCTGGAGATAATGATAAGATGTCGACCTTCCCAACGTTCCCGAGTGCCGCACACATCGTCTGCCACTTGTGTGGTGCCGTGATGGCTGAACAAATGTAATGTTACCTTAAACCACAAAAATCATATGTACATGGGCAGACTATTTAGTAGTGCTATTGATTCAGGTCCAAATATTTACATTTTAGTGCAAAGTATTTAAATTCCACATATTGTGCTGTAAGAATGCATAGCGACCGCCCTCTACTGGTTGAAACATGGCTATTGTAATTGAATTTTGCTATTGGCTGATCTGGAGGCAGGAGTTGTTTGTGGTGGCACCCTTCATCATCAACCCCCCCATCAGCCCTGATCTATAAAACCAACATCTTGACTCTGCAGACGCTACTGAAGCACCCATGCTACACTTATCCTTGTCCTTTTTCTTTGTGTGCTTAGGTTGCATGGTCTCACACAGTTAAGGACAGTGCCTCTGAACAATGAAACTCTTTGTCGGCCATTAGAATAAAATGCAAAGCGTAAAAGGAACACAGATAATATAACACAGCTGATCTGGCTATCCGAACAATGGTGGACTGATATAGAAATCTGACTGACTGCTGTGTGTCAGCTAATGCCAACTTCAGTACAACTCTAATTCCATTCACCAAAGCTGTCTGACAACTCTGATCCAACAACTACATGATTCATGCACAGTCTCATAATATCATACTGTATGGTAAAACCAGTAAATCTAAAATTCTTAGCTGCCAGTATATCCAAATTTATAGTCTCATGTTAACATGAAAGATCACAACTAAACATGGACATATGGGACCTCTATAGCCTCTCTTTCACTGTGTGTGGGGAAACAGCTACTTCTCCAGTGCAGTAAAACCAGTAAGGCCAGTCAGAGCTGACAAGGGGGGGGCTGTGAATAATGTGGGCAGGGTTATAGGCAATAACTGTTAGTCAACATTGAAAAGTATAGCTACACCATTGATTCCAAACTTCAGGACTCCCCCCAGGGGGCCACAAGATAAATCTCAGAGGTCACAAGAGGATTAGGCTGATAGAACATTTCTGCTTCACAAAATGTACCTTTTGTCTTGACTGGAAAAAGGAGAATTTTAACTCTTGAGGTAAATAGTCTTATTTAGACTTATCATATGCCTCACCAGCAGTTAAACAGTTGGCTTTTCATCTTTTTCTCTGAAAACAGCTCTCTGCTGAAGCTGGACACTATGAGGGCAGTGAAAATGAACCAAAACAGTAAAGTTGTGGGTTGAAACTCACTATAAAGCTCCATAAAGCTGAGGAAGCTGCACAGTCAGATGATAATTCTCTGTAGGTTTACCACTATGACAGAAACCTTTGACATTGTCACACTCTCATTTAGACATTGTTATTAAAAAAATGTATATAAATGTTTGCTGTTGGACAGAATCCATGCTTCATGGAAAAGGCTCTATGTCCTAAAGCACTGCTCTCCAGGCACTCTACCCATACTTTTACCAGCATAACTGATTAGTTACAGGTGGCATCAATTGCTCCAATGAGCCATCAGCTTCTCTCTTTGGAAAACACAGTTCCTCTCTGCCTCGCAAAAAAACTTGTACTCCAGCTACACTGAATGTTAAACTAGTTGCTCAACCTGTTTGCAGTGTGAAATGCAACCAGTCTGTTGGTAAAGAGGGAGGAGGCAAAAGTGAGAAGAGACATTGGCAGAAATCAAGTGTCAGCCTGCACCTTTTGTCTTGGTGGTTGTCTGTTTTTCTGGGGACGTTAAATCTGTGTGGCAAGTTAGTGAACTGAAGAAATCAGGAAATAAAGTGGACTATATACACGGGAAGGTAAGTGGACATATGGCTCAGAAAGAAGGAAGTTAAGAGCTTAAGCTAAATAATACCTTGACTGCACACTTCTGTCATCTGTGCTTCTAAAAATATGTTTATTTTTCCCCCTTTTGTCTTTTTGTTTTCAGCCTTTCTGCATTACAGCAGCCCAAACAGCACCAATGCGGTTTCATTGGATTGTGTTAATTTTATCCACCTTGGTGTCCTTGGGACTGCTGTTGATTACTGTTGGCCAATATGAAGTGATCATAATGCTAAACAAGGGGATTGAAAATCTGCAAATACGTTCAGTGGGTCTCGATAATCAATATATCAATGAAGAGTTGTTTAAAGGGACGATGGAAAAGCTGCTGGTTCAGGGGACAAACGTCGTGGCGGGTCTGCAGGTCACAGTGTCGACACTTAATCAAGAGACTGAACAGAAGAAAAAAGAAGTTGACATCTGTCAAGCAGAAAAGGTGAAAAGTTTCCTTCTTTGCAATGTAACATGATCCCAGAGTGTGGCTCTTCAGCTATTTTGTGTGCTGTTCTTTTCACATTCAGTATGTAAATGATAGATATGATAAGTGGTAATTCGTTGATGACTAAGTACAGGAGGATGGATTGAAGTATAGGAAAACAAATGTTGCAAAGGATAATGCAGAGCAATGAGGAAGTGACGATCTATTTGAGTCTATAATCATGAATACTAAGTTCACAAAGCCTTGGGGCAGTAATGGAAAGTAATTAAAATTACTCAAGTACGGATTAAATTTTATGCCACTTTATACTTCCACTGCACTACGCTTGAGAGGGAAATATCTTACTTTTTTTTCACTTCTACTTCTTAAGATTTAAAATGGTAGTTAAAAACAAACATGATGATGCATCAGTATTAACAATCTAATATTGAATGATATATCAGGCACAGGAGCCATTTTTCTGCAGAAGTAGTGTTTTCACATTGTTGTAATTAATACTTTTACAGAAGAGTACTACTTCCTCTAACCTTGAGCGAACAACTCGCTGTTGTTTAAGAGCCTACAATCTAGTTTTACATCTGTGGTATTTTTTGTGTAACACGCATAACAGGTTATGCTGACATACATTTCTCCTACACTGCTGTAGGAAAAAATTGTTGAGGAGCTGGCAGCAAGCACAGGGAAGGAAAACAGTGAGATTAAAGGTACAACTGATAACTAGAGATCATTTATGCCCAGCTGCTGGTGCCACCATGTGGTGAAATACAACAATTACTGTTTAGGTCTAAATGGTTATTTCTCTTTCTTTGTCACTAAGCTGCCTTAAAATCAGAGTCTGATGCCTGGACCCAAGAGATTAATAATCTAAGAGCACAACTGAAGGGGTATAGACCGATATGTGATCATATGAAGAACGAATCACTCGCTCTGTAAGTCACAAAAAAAAGTTTCTTGTCACAAAACAACAAACATTTCAGCGTACATGGTGGAATAATAATTATATGATTTTGTCTTTTAGGAAAATGTGTGGCAACAAAACAACTTCCTGAAGACGGCACAGAGATCAAATCTGAGACCAGCTGACCACTCCACAGACTGTTTTAGATTTTTGATGTTCTTGGTGTTGTTCCTGTTACTGCTGTATAAAGTGTTATTGATATGCTGTTGAGCTACACTGATAAGACAACTGGGTTTTTACTGAAATGTGTTGATGTTCTCGGGGGATCGTTTACCATGGAACGTCTGGCACTTGTTTCCCTATATATCTGGGCTTTTTATCTTTCAGAGGGCATATTTTGCCTTTAGACAAATGACGGGAAAGAGACCAGTTGTTGATGAGCAACAAAGGTCCTCTGTCTAATGCAATTACATGGTGCTCCTTGGCACAGCTCAACCTGCCTTATCTAGTTTCTTGCTGTACAACATGCCAATGTATTTGAATGGAAACACTCTCATTGTGGCATTGGCTTATTTTTAGTATTTCATGAAGGCACTATAAAGCACATATGCTAATGTCTTATCAATAAATGTATATTGCACTGTGAAAACCAAGTATCTCAACCAACGTCAACTTTTCATGAGCAAAGAGAAACAACTGGTTTCAGACTTTATTTGTATAGCACCTTTCATACAAGTCAATTGCAATTCAAAATGATTTATATGTGACTGACAATTCCATAACAAAACAAACAACTGTAGAATGAACATGAGGAAAATTAAGATTAGATAGATTTCAGAATAGTAAAAAAAAAAAAAAGTAAGATTCTCATTTCCAGTTGGTGACCAGCTGGGAATTATTAAATATTCTATTGCAATACAAAGGCAGTAAGAATGAAGATGAGAGAAAAGGGTTTTACATTTTCAGGCTGGCTGACAAACTGAAACAGAAAGGTTGTATACTTTCATTTTATAAGGCAACTACAGCAAATCACATGAATTCTACTAGTCAAAAGCTTAGGGGGTAGTAAACAGACTAAATAAAATATCCACCTTGTGTTAGTTTCTTTGTAAATAGTAAAATATAAACTCCCCACAGACTGCAAACGCCCCAAATTCCCCAAAAAATAGAAAATCACAAGACCTCAGTGTCCTCAATGGGGAAGGATTGACTCACTTCTGTAGGCAGTCTCTAGTGACCGTTGGAGGAACTGCAGTTTTTGTTTCTTCAATGTTGCCTTCTTTTGACAGTCATGGAGGTTGCTGCTTATAATGTGTTGGTAACTGACAAGTTCTAGCAGCTGCTAGATTGATTTTGTTATCTTTGGACAGAGCCAATCTAGTTGTTTCTAGCCTGTTTTCTGTCAGTTTTTATGCTAAGCTAAGGTACCCTGCTCATCCTTAGTGTGCCTGCAGTCCATTTTCTTGTTTGCATCCAAATTCCTAATGATATACAGAGCTCTATCTACAAAAAAGTCTTAAGTTCATTTTACATAACTGATTAACTTTGATATCTAAAACACTGCACTTTAGCAAGGAGCCGGCTTTAGGAGTGACCCAGTAATTGTGACTGCGGCTTCTCAAGTGTGCCTGTTGAGAGTGTCTGAGTCACTAGTGTAAACGTGAACATGACACCTGCCACTTCAGAGAGTGCATGGCCGACAATGGTGAAATATGATATAGTACAGGGGTCTATATAATGGAGACTGACCCGGTCACAGACAGGAAGATACCAGGAGAGAGCACATGTGGGCAGTACTGAGGAACTTTACAACTTATATGTAGGATTTGTAGTTGTTATAATCTACTGTATATATTTAATACAAATTAACAAAAGTACAGTGATTATATAACCCCATCAGGTTCTCCACCATCTGCTTTTAAGTTGCAACATGGACTAATTCAAAATGCATTAGCCTTCAGGACTTCCCAAGTGGACTAACTGATTACATTTTCAAGCTACTGAACAAAACAAGTTTGACCTTTTTTCTTGTGTCTGCATACCAGAATCAGTCAATCATCCAAAAATGTGTGAGCCTGTGATCTCTAGTTTTAATCCCCAGATCCACAGAGTTGCTGGAAAAACCTGGAGGGGGAAAGAGCAGGAGTGACACCACTGTAAGGACTCCCCTGGGCCATGAACCTTCAGCTTCAGCTGCACCCTGAGACTCAGACGGTGTGTGAAACTGTAAAGTGAAGCATTGCTGGAAAGGAGCAACAGTGTCTCTTTGACAATATAAAGATGATATCCTCAATATCAAAGGGGAGAAAAGTATTGCTTAAATGATTTAAATGATGAGGATTTTATTGTCCAGGTAATTTATTAAACAACAGTGTGAAACATTTGATTTCCATTTACTGAAATGTGAGGATTTGCAGCTTCTTTCTGTTTTAAAACATAAAATATAACGTAAATTACATAAAAATGTAATTTTGTCATCTTGGGCTCTGGGTATTTGTGATGGGCATTTTTCAATAAATTGTGACGTTTTATAGACTAAACCAATGGTTCTCTGGTGGTGAGACACTGCAGCCCACCTAAAGTTGCATGAAAATGTTTAATGCCATAAAACAAACAAAAGTGCCTTGATGATAGCAAGGTGGTTTTACTACTGTGAACCTTTTTCAGTTTGGATAGATTCACTGATAATGAAAATAATTGTTAGTTGCCGTTACCTTTGCTCAATAGGCTGCTCCCATGAAGTCGCTGCTTCAGTCCATCACATATACAACCACAAATTGTTGTTTTTGAACTTTTGTACAAAATAAAAAATATATAATTGATAAATTGGTGAACTTTAGAGGTGCTGGTGGGCAGGGCGGTTTCCCCCTTTTTCCAGCCTTTAATAGTTGCTGGCTGCAGCTTAAAGGTCCCATGTTTAGGATATAGTTGCAGATTGCAGTGCCCTCACTTCACCCTCCCGTTTTAAGTGTGAAAGAGAAACTATGGTGGCTGTAAAACCAGCAAAAAATGCAAAATGCCCCTGTCTAGGCCTCATTCTAAGGTCATATTGTCAAGTGATTATACACTAATGAAAACACAGAATATTCTATTACATTTCTGCAAATAGATCCTCCTAAATATTACACACTGGACCTTTTAATAGGTCTAATTAGTGGTGTAATTTTCTCATCTAACTGTCAAAGAAGCAAATAAGTGTATTTCCTGAAATGTTTAATTCTACCTGTATATATGGCTTTTATTGCCTTTAATTGACAGGGACAGCTGAAGATTTACAGGTTTATGGGTATGATTAATAAATAATATGACATTTGAAACTAAGGTAGTTTTAATGGCATGTTTATATTAGAAAGTGTAAGCTGTAATAAAAAACGGTGGTTGTTAGGTCTTGAAAAAAGTTATTAATTAAAAAGTGCTTCTCAATTACTCTCTTAACTAATTAAGGGGGTTGAGTATTATCAGATTATGGCTAAGCGAAAGAGAAATGACAGCAGTTGTATTTTACTGTATATTTCCTAACGAATAAATGTGTCAATAAGCTTCTAGCAGGTGGTTTTCCCTCTGAAACGGGTTTGACCAGTCGGCTTTATTCATTGTACTTTGGAGGATATCTGCCCTGGCTGCGCAACACGACCCGCAGCCGTATCACCGCCCCGGGACTCGTCCCACAGGAGGGAGGGAACTTCCATAGCAGGAAGGAGGAGGAGAGGAGGAGGAGAGGAGAGAGGTGAGTGGACGCAGTTATGCCAACAAGCCGATTATTGAAGGCTACTGAGCCCTCTCTGTCAATTTGTGTCCGTCCTCTCATGGTCAAACAGAGGAGGACACACTGTAGGCTGCATCTGAAGCTGAAGGTCTTATTTTTACGGGGAGCAGGCTTTATTAATCAAAGGAAAATACTTTTTTTTAATGGACGCTGCAACTTTTTATGGATTTATATTGTGATAACTCGTGTGGGGAAAGCCACTGTTTCTTTTATATACACTCCACTTTGTTTGTTTACTCCGTAGAGAGCTAAAAGTGTCCTGGTACTTGATGGTATTTTGTAGGTGTCACTGTTTTAAAGTAAAGTAGCTGCATTGTAATTTTTTTTTTTTTTTTTTAGGATAGTTCTTTTTTGCAAAGGAAGTTAAAACTAAAATAATGCATCCAATGGATATGCCAGCTGCTGTAAACTTTATTAGCAAGTGAGCATTACAATCAGGCCCCTGTAAGCCCAATCACAGGCACAGTAGAGCTTTACCCAGTTTAAAGTGCAAGGTGTGAAAATGTCCAGCCTCTCCAGGAGTGTAGATGAGCAGAGAGGCATCAGTGAGAGCCCGGCTCACAAACCAGAGACACCCAAGTACCGCAGCTGGAGCGGCCTCCGCTTCTCAAGATGGAGAAGTGGCTCCCAGAGGACGACCCCCCCTGCCACCCCTTCCCCGAAGACAGACAAGAGGGCTGATGTGACCAAGACGCTCTTCTCCTTGGTCAAGACTCACAATGACGACTACACGGCAGATCCCGATGGACTGCTGGATACCAACGTCGATGACGAAGGAGGCGAAGATGACACCCAAGAGGATCAGACCACCTGCTACCAGAAGCAGTTTGGATCCATGTTGCAGCCCGGGGTCAACAAGTTCTCCCTGCGCATGTTTGGCAGTCATAAGGGTGTTGCTGCTGAGCAGGCCAGGGTAAAGAGCTTTGGAGTGTGGATCATTCACCCCTACAGTGACTTCAGGTAATGATGATGAGGCTGGGTTATCCTCAGAATGTCCTAACCTCAGTTTCCTCCTTTCAAAGCTGTTTGTGGGAGAAAGTTTACTCCAGAAATGAGCTAGTAACCTTTTGCCAACACAAGATTCCCCTATTTGTCATTCATCTTTTATAAACTTTCCTTGAAAGCATCCCGTTTTCGTGCAACCAAACAGCATGTGAGGGAGCTCAGATCCGATTTTTCCAAGGACATACTGCAGTACAGCAGCTGATGACATGGTTCCTCGCGCATGATAAGGCGATGAAGGGATTTGATTAGTGATACAGTATATAGGACAAGATCATCTGGATTAATGAAACCACTCGTGACTCTCTTCCTCCTTGGTTATGAGGAGGGAGGACTGCATTCATTGGTCCTGATATTTTAAGCATGTGTTTCATTTGAGAAACACTTGATAATTTCTTGTTCCATTTTGGCTTCATTTATGGGGGATTTGACAGATCATTCAGCTTTTGGGGGCTTTTTTAATCAACATCTTAGCATTGATGACGGGTAATCTGTCTGTGCAGTCACTAATAATTGCCGCAATCAAATCTAAACAATTTCAAACATCAGGCCGATGCCAGACAGAAAGGATAAACTAATAATAGTAGAATTTAAACAATTTTAAACATCAGGCCTATGCCAGACTGAGAAGATAAACCCATGCAGAGGGATTATTGCCCATAAGAATCCCTATAATTCCAATCTTGCTCTATTATGCAATAATACACAGACAGCTGAGGGGGGGATTACCGAAGGCCTGCTCTCCTTTAAACCTTATGCTCCAACTTCCCCTTTATAATGGATGAGTTGGAACTGCCCGTTTTTGGTGCTCAGCGGTCCCATTTAGGGGTTACGGTCAAATAACTGGTCCTGTTTAGCATTTTGAATCCAATTTAAAGTTGGTAAATGAGCACATTTGTACATCTAAGAGTGAAATGACTCTCTTGTTGAACCTATACAGACAGGTGACAAAATAAAACCTGAATGTATTAGTGGTGAAGCATGACAAATGCAGGATATGAGGGGTAATTGACTGGTTTCATGAGAATGAAAATGAACAACTATGGGAGAATGGAGAGGGTTCAAGAGGTTTATGTTGGTTTTTTCTTTAAATTGTCACCCATCTGAACTTTAAAAAAAAAACATCTTTTCCATCAAGAAACCCTTGAGGGTCATTATTTCTCTTCTTTCAATGATGAAATACTCTCCAGTCCTGATATGACTGATGCTAGAAGTATGTATGTCTAGTATGAACCTCCTTAGCAGCCGTCATTGTTGTTTTCGAGCGAACAGTCACTTCTAACACACCTAGTGTTAAACCACACTTGTAGCTTATGCCATAACTGCCAGTAGTTGACGCTGATTGGTCTGAACTACTGTGGTTGAACGCAAGCGTATACCTTGAAGCGTGGCAAGGTGAATTCTCACATGAACTCACAACTCAGCAGCCTCGTAGCGCTACAAAATATTATCATCCTGTAAAAAACATGAATGTCTTTACCAACTTTAAAGGCTATCCATTCAATTGTTGAGACATTTCACTCAACACCGTAAATGTGCTGGTGGCACTAGAGGAAAAGTCAGGGACTCACCAAAGTCAGTAGGAGTCATCCTCTGAGGACCTTGAATGTTTCTATAAATTTTTATGGCAATCTATCCAGTGGTTGTTGTTGTCATGGCTAAAAAGGACAGATAAATGGCAGGTAGTGGTTTATCTTAAGAGAAATTATATAACTAATCTGTCAAAACTTGAATTTTAGTTATTTAAATGTCAGACTTACGTACGTATTTATAACTTTTGTTGCTTTGACTAAGCTACAAACTAAACTTAGTTGGTAAACAGAATCAATCCTAAATTCAGATTAAACATCAAATGCTATCAAACCACATTCCTGTTCCACCCCCACTGTTATTAATAGCTTGTCTGAAAGGTTTTGATACAGCAGATTTAATTCTGCTTCACTCTCTCACACACTCATACTTGAGCACAGACACCTCACATAAGTAAACCGCTATAATGCCGTGCAGAGACTTTGGTGGAGTTATTAGCAGCAAGCAAGCACTAATCTGTTGCAACATGAGAGGAGACGATAAGTAGTCATGTAAACCAGTGTGTAGACACAGAGGACATGGAAGCAAGAGATTGATGGAGGGATAAACGTGAATGAGAATGAGGAACTAATCTATCAGTTCCTGTATCTCTGCTGTGACTGGCGAAGGAAGAAGGTTGTTTTCTCACAGGGTTCATATTGTGGTCACTGACAGGTGACGGTAATCAAAAATAGTCTGGTTCATATTCGGTTACTGTGCCTCTGTAGTGAAAGAAAGACAGAGAGACCCAAAGTGATTGACACTCGATGGAAACAATCTGTAAGGAAACCCAAACCGTGTAGCCATGGTGTATAACGAGACACTGGAGACCTATAGGAAAATGGGACTTGCATGACATGAAGCAGACAGTGATGAATGCAGATGTACAGCACAGACGTCTGGGCTTCAACAAAGCAGCACACTGCCTGTCAGACATTTCCAGTTTTTCCACGTTTTCTTTTCTTCATTGTCTTCTTCGATACAATATTGAGCCGGAGGAAGTAAACACTATACATTTTTAATGAGAGGGATTCCTTCTGTGACATTAGCTGTTAAGGTAAGGGACACTCTGAAATGGGTCATTCCCTGGATGACACACTGTCCTCCTAATTGGATGACTTCTCTTGACCATGATAGCTGTTCCCTAACTTAAGGGTCCAGTGTTTGGGATTTAGTGGTATCTAGTGGTGAAGTTGCAGATTGCAAACATTTGAATACAGCTCAGCCTTCTGAGTGTGTATAGGAGAAACTACGGTGGCTGCAAAAAATGTGAAAGGACGTATCTTGAGCCAGTGTTTAGTTAGTCTCTTCTGGGCTACCGTAGGAACATGGCAGCCTCTATAGAAGAGGACCCGCTGTAGATAACAGTGGTTCATTCAAAGATAGTAAAAACACAGTCCTTATTTTCAGGTGATTATACACTAATAAAAACATACCTATGGATATTATATTCCATGTCTGCCAATAGATCCTCCTAAATATTACTTTAACGTAATAGTTTGACACTTTTAGGAAATATGTGTTTTGCTATTAGTTTATAGATTGAAAGATCAACATCACTTTCACTCACTATAACTTGTGTAAAAAGTAGAGATTATTTACAGAGACCTAACAATCCCCACCATGAGCAAGCACATGGTGACAGTGGCAAGGAAAAAGTTTATTTTAATCTGACACAAGATAGAAAATAATGTATTTTTAAGTATTAGACTTTTTTTGTATTTATCCAGGGAAACATTGCTGAGAGCAATCCCACACTCACACTCACACACAGGTTTAGTATGACCACAGTCTGACCTGTTGCCAGCTCCACTGGAGCCATTAGGGGTTTCATCCTTACAGGTCTGTGAAACCTTACTGTTTATTACTGAGCAGTGTGTGTCTATTTAGTGAATACTGTGATTATATAAAGATATACAGGAGCGGTTGCAGCAAAAACAAATGGTGTTTGGCTGACATCCAATTACGTAACAATTAGTCAATTCATGATGTGAACAGATTTTAACTATAAGCCTCATTCTACCTGCTGGGTCAGGGATTTAACCTTGGCAAAGCTCTCTGGGCCTCTTCCTAAACACTGAACCCAAAGAAGTTCGGATTACACGATTAACTTGACAACCAGCATTATTAGCAGGTTTCGCTCATATACATGTATGCATGTATGTAAGAGTAGAGGACTTGTTCCTGCAATTATAGTGCTTTGATGTATTCATTATGTATTTCATGTATTTGATTTGTTTGTAAAGCTTCCACATTATTTATCACACATATAAAAAATATGTCCCTCCACGTTGGAGGTGGCCATTTAAACATTTAAAAAAAAAAATGTATTACCCTTAGCTAATTAATCTTCTAATATTATGCAGCAGTGCATTTATGTTAAACTGCAAAAAACAGGCTTGGATAGAAAGTGTCCACCTCATTTACATACAGTTGAAACTTGAGTCAACTCTAGCTGTCACTCTTTGTTTTAAACACTAAAACAAACCTTTACTTGTAAGGTCGGTTGTTAACAGATCCAACTTCATTTACTTCAGTTTGTTTCCTCAGACAAAGAAGTGATCTGTTAGGACTGGAGACCCCATCTGTGGTGTTATATCCTGTTAAGTTAGCACAATATGCAGTTGCATCTCAGTGTTGCTGTAGTAGAAAAACGTTTTAGGTTGTACAGAGGAAAATGCTCACACTCCTCTTCTGTCCAGGTTTTACTGGGACCTTGTGATGCTCCTGTTGATGATGAGCAATCTGGTCATTTTGCCCTGGGGAATCACCTTCTTTGAGGACCAGAACACCGCGCCCTGGATCACCTTTAACGTCCTGTCTGACACTCTCTTCCTCATGGATCTGGTTTTCAATTTCCGCACGGGCGTCCCTGGAGAGGACAGCCACATCATCCTGGACCCTAAAGAGATCCGCAAGAATTACCTCCGCACCTGGTTTCTGGTGGACTTTGTCTCCTCCATCCCCGTCGATTACATCTTCCTCATCGTCGACCTGGAGGCCCGGCACGAGTCGTCTGATGTGTACCGCACCGCCCGCGCCCTCCGCATCGTGCGCTTCACCAAGATCCTCAGTCTGCTGCGTCTGCTCCGACTGTCTCGCCTCATCCGCTACATTCACCAGTGGGAAGAGGTAAAGGACGGGAAAGAGGACAGAACACATCAGAAAATTCATCATTCAATCATTTTAATGTTGTTTTCCTCTGTACAACTTTCTCTCTGTCAGATCTTCCACATGACTTATGACCTGGCCAGTGCTGTGGTGCGTATAGTCAACTTGATCGGCATGATGCTGCTGTTGTGCCATTGGGATGGCTGCCTGACCTTCATGGTGCCTATGCTGCAAGACTTTCCCTCAGACTGCTGGGTATCCAAAAATAATATGGTGGTGAGTACGTGTTCCTCAATACATACTCACATGCATGTCTTATATTTAAACTTAAATCCTTGTACACAGAGTTAATCTGTGTCCTAATCATGGTTCAAATATGTTTACTTAAATGAATACTCACTCATTATTTGCTCTGTTGCCAAAAATGAAATGAGAAGGTCGATACCAGGGTATTTATGAAGCTACAGCCAGCAGCCAGTTAGTTTTTCTTATACTAGAAGATTTACTTTATTAATCAATGGGGACATTCTGTTTTCACTTGATTCTTTACACACATAGGCCCAAAATACAAACACACAGGGCTTATAGATGCAAATGTGGAAAGATAATGGTGTGATAGGCTGTCACGTAGCAGTATGCGGTGCAGTGCCTTGCTCAAGGGCAGTGCCCAGGAGGAGAACTGGCATCTCTCCTGCTACCAGTCCACAGTGACAGTGACAGTGACGCAGAGCTACTGCCGCCCCTGAAGCTTAAAGACTGGAAACAGGGGGAACAACCTGGCTCTGCCTAAAAGTAACAAAATCTACACTAGCCCTCAATTTTTATCACGTTCTGAAAAGTACAAAAACAGAAATGTTAAAATTACTTTGATTGTACAGAATTTTACGGGCCGGACTATTTCCTGGACGGGCGACTTAAGCTTCTTTTTTCAGACTAGCTTTTTCCTGTCTTTGTGCTAAATTAAGATAACCGGCTGCTGGCTATTTCAGTGAATCTATTATTACAGACATTAGAGTGATATTAATCTTCTCATATAACTCTTGGCAAGAAAGTGAAGAGGCATATTTCCCAAAGTGTCAAACTATTATGCTTTAATTGAAAACTGTATTAATTTCCTGATAATTAAATGTAAAATAATATAACTGAAAATATACTAATGCTGCGCTCCTGTGGCATTTCTTTGCCAATTAAATTATGATCATGTAAAGAATATTTTATCCTGACAACATTGTTGTATCCTCCCCGTTTTTACTCTATCCTTCTCAGAATGCTACATGGCACATACAGTACTCTTACGCCCTGTTTATGGCCATGAGTCACATGCTGTGTATTGGATATGGTGCCCACCCTCCTGAAGGCATGACTGACGTTTGGCTCACCATGATCAGTATGGTTGTGGGGGCCACCTGCTACGCCATGTTCCTTGGTCATGCAACTACCCTGGTCCAGTCCTTGGATGCATCACACCGCCAATATCAAGAGAAGGTAATCATCTCTGCACTGATTCGAGATGATTGACAAACTCAGTTGTTTTACCTTCCAGGAGCTACACATGGATACTAATGTGATTCTGGCTGTGAGGTTTAATATCACAGCCATGTTTTATATCATAAGCTTGCTTACTTGCTCGTACTTTATTGGTGGAAACTGTGCCAAATGCCTAGAGAATATGTGTATTATCTAATGGATTTTGTGGCCTTAATGTGACCCTTTCCAGGGGATTTTCACAAGATAAAGCAGAACGGATGATAGACAAATGGCAGCACCTTTGTCCTGGATCACTGTTTGCTAATGCCCATTACAAATGAGTTTGTAATCCACTTAAAACTGGGAAAAAACTGCTAAACAAATAGAATAAATGCATAATTATTGTACTTAGGAATAATTCAGCAAGCACATGGTAGGAAATGTGGCTAAATGTGACATCAGCCCTGTTGAATTTCAATTGTAACCTCATGAAGGTCAAATCACCATGTGTTCTGTACAAATGTTTTCAGTATAAGCAAGTGGAGCAATACATGTCGTTCCATAAACTGCCAGCGGATGTAAGACAGAGGATCCATGATTATTACGAGCAGCGGTTCCAAGGCAAGATGTTCGATGAGGACAGTATCCTCGGAGAGCTCAGTGATCCGCTCAAGGAGGTTTGTTATTCATTAAAGTCGCCCTCAATCACAGTTATATATACATATATACATATATACATATATACAGTTGGATGTTTGAGCAGAGTTTGACATTGATCTGATTAGTTTTCTGTCTATTGATAAATCAATTAATCATCAAATAGTTTCAGCTCTAAATCAATATTGATATGCTGCATCACAATACGGAAAACGTATGCAAAATCATATAAAGTAAGAGATTTTATGTTTTTTTGCATTACATTAGCCAAAACCATAGGCAACTAACAATTAATATGTTGATTATTTTCTCAATTAATTGATTAATTGTTTAGTCTTTAAAGAAGATGATAGAAAATGATGAAAAATACCCATCAGAATTTTCTGAAGCCAAAGGTGACATCTTAAAATGTCTTGTTAAGTGCTGAAAAAAGCTCATTCAATTAACCAATTAGAAAATGTATCTGCACCTCTTTTGATAATCGATTAATAGTTGTATTTATTTTTCAAGCAACATTCTCAGGTTCCAGCTTCTCAAATGCGAGGATTTGCTGCTTCCCTTTGTCATATTTATAGCAAACTGAATATATTTGGGTTGGTTGTGGACAAAACAAGGTGAGCAACTAATGTTGAAATGTCTTGTTTTGTCCAAAAAAACAGTCCAAAACTAAAAGATTTGTGTTACGATCACATTTGACTAAGACAACCAGTAAATACTCACATTTGAGAGACGAAAATGTGTTAAATCAAACAATTAAACAGTATAGTTGCCCATCAAATTCTTGTGTAACTAATCAGCAGACTGAACATTTCAGCTCTACAAAACTCTCACATATGTAAAATAAAAGCTTTAATGTGTCATGTTGTTACTTTTTAAATAAACTGTGCTCAGAAACATTAATTTAGACAGAATGTAATAAAACAACAACACAGTATGTTCAAAACGTCTATGTTAAATATATAATTTCTCATTTTGACAATTCTTAATGTTGTCTGTCCTCTCTTTCTCCCACCATGCAGGAGATTGTCAGCTATAACTGTCGTGGACTGGTAGCCAACATGCCACTGTTTGCCAACACCGACCCTCATTTTGTTACCGTGATCCTGACTAAGCTGCGTTTTGAAGTCTTTCAACCCGCAGACTTCATTATACGAGAAGGAACGCTGGGTCGGAAGATGTATTTCATCCAGCACGGCACCGTCACCGTCATCCCACGTGGCAGTAAGGAGATTACGCTCAACGATGGAGCATATTTCGGGGGTAAATCATTTCAACCTTCAAATGGTTTCCTATCAAATGTACAAGTATGTAAGGCTACACCTTTACATTATTTTAATTATCAATTGATTTGACAATAATTTATTTATTCATCATTTTTTCTAAAAATGTTAGAAAAAATTGTTTTGGATACACATATTCACTTTCTTACTGATAGTTAGATGACAACATTAATACCACTCATATATCTGAGCACTAAATATGTCAGTTACAGTCAGCAGCTGGTTAGCGTAGCTTCATGCCAAGACTGGAAACAGTGGGGAACAGTTAGGCTGGCTCTGTCCAAAGATAACAAAATACACATACAAAAACCACAGTGTAACAACAAGTTGTGGAGTTAAGGGAACTATTTCCTGGCAGTGTGCAGTTGCTATGAGGTTGCCAGGCACCCAGTAGAGACTGGTAGTCTGAGCTAAGATAAGATAAGATAAACTAGCTGCTGGCTGTAGCTTTATATTTACCATACAGACTTGAGAGTGGTGTCAATCATACATTTTGCATTTCATTGAACTATTGTTTTCAAGGTTAAAGTGAGTCTCTCGTCCTCTGTGCAGAGATCTGCCTGCTAACCCAAGGACGACGCACGGCCACCGTGAAGGCTGACACCTACTGTCGCCTTTACTCCCTGAGTGTGGACAGTTTCAACGAAGTCCTGGAGGAGCACCCGCTGATGAGGAGGGCATTTGAGAGTGTGGCTGTGGACCGACTGGGCCGTGTCGCTCGCAGACCCAGTTATCAGGCTCCCCCACCTGAGTGACATCCTCTGACTCTGGCCAGAAATGTGGAGGATATTTGTCACACTTTGGCTGAACTTGACCACAAAACAAAGAAACCTTCAAAGTAAATGTTGTTGCTGTTTAGTGCTCAGCGATGGACAACCTGATGGAGACCCTCAGTTTTATTTATTAACATATTATTGTTGCACTTGGTTGAAAATGTTGTACCTTCAGTTTCACTTTGTTACTTGAATTTAAATACATGAACAATTTTGTTTTAGACCTTTGTACACTATTCATGTAAGATCCATTGTGTCATTTTCAAAATTCTATAATGAGAAAACTATTTTCTTGTTTCTTCAGCAACTTAACATTTTTGCTGATCCATTTGCTTTTAAAGCAATGGCAGCACCAGCTCTTCTAAATGTTAATGCTGCTTTATCAATCATTTTCAGCAACCTGTATGCTTTCTGAGATGCTTTCATTATCCATCACATCATTCATACGAGATATTGGAAGCACACAGGAGCACCAGCTGGGCGATACAACATACAGGATACAGCTGATTCAAATTATCCCTCAGGTCTGCATCAGGGTTTAATACTGATGTTCACTGAGGATAAGCTGCTGTGATGTAATAACAGTACAGAGACTGAATGTACACAGTTATACATCAACGTTTAAATTGCCACAATTTATGATCCTTACACCTGGAGTTCGAAGACCAATTGAAGAGTCTAGCTTTGCATCTTTACAATTTAGTATTAGGGCTGCTCAATTATGGAAAAAAACATAATCACGATTATTTGGGTCAA